CATAAACACGGAACCACAACGAGATGTAAGGGTAAGAAAAGACTGGAGATTGATTGGGACACCGTGACGGTCAGCAACGGAAGCATTTAGCAGATTCTTCATACGATTCTCTGGTGTCCAGAGTTGCCGTGGGCGTGACTGATAAAATCACAGATGATGTGGACAGAAATATGAGTGTTCTTATTCAAACAAACCTGGGTCAGGACCCCCAGCTGATCCTACAAGAACTTGAAGGAAATGGAAGCTGTGAAATGTTGTCTGGAGAGTCTGAATTTAAAAGTATTTATTCTGCCATAAAACATTCAAAAACTCCCGAATATTCCCTGATTACAGTCTTTTGAATGATTTGTGTAGTAAAGTAAATGCATAATGGTGTACACGTAAGGCAGTGGTTGGTAGTAATGCACGTTTGCGCCGATGACGGATGTGGTGAAACTGATCTGCCGTAGCTCCACTCTGGCTTCGTCAGATATCGGTAAATGAAAAAGACTGGAGATGGAAGCCACATTAAAAAGCTCCTAAAGATGGAAGGAGGTGGCAGAAACGTGGGATTTCCCCCAGCCTCCTCTGAAATTCTCTCACTTTGAGGATGTCAGACAGCAGCTTTGAAAGAGCGCTTTTGTTTTCTTCGTGATCTCTCGCCCCCCCTCTTCTGCCGATCCCCGTCTTCTTCCGTCAGTTTTTCTTTGGCCTCGGAATTGAGAGAAAGCAGTTCTGGCCCCAGACGCAGCCTGCCGCCCCTCTTGTAAAACCCTCACCACCACAGCACGCCGTGTTGTAGCAAACAACAGCCTGCCTCTTCTCCTCTAACCGCCATGTAATTTAATTTTCCTGAAATCAGAGGGATCGCCTTGGCGAACCTATGGGCAGAGTTGATGGCAGATAGACGCGCCGCATGGTGGGATGGATGGATGCAAGGACGGTGCAGACGCAAGAGACGTGTAGAATGAAAGATTTGGTGAAAAGTTAATTACAGAACAGATGACNGTTATTTGTGGTGACAGCAAATTACAAAATCAAAAAATTTTAGTTTTATTTTTTTTTTTTTTTTTTTTTTTTTTTTTTTTTTTTTTTTTTTTTTTTTTTGTTCTCAGTGTATATGTGTGTGCACACACACTTTGTTAAAGTTTGGTTTAGCAGCTTGGTTAAAATCCTGATGAGCACCATGTGTGCTTGGTTTTCTTTAGGTTTCTGCCCCAAAGCCGGTTAGGCGATGCCATGTCATTTTCCACTTTAGAATAATGGCATTGTTTGCTTTTTCCCCCTCTTCTAGTTTTATCTTACACTTGGTCCATAGAGCACCAAAACAATTAAACATAATAAAAATGACATAAAAGCTTAATGCTAGGTTTATCTGGTTTGTTCCAAGATAAGTCATTTATCCCTACTCTGCTTTAAAAAAAAAAAATCCGACCGCTACTTATCCGCCGTTTCTTTTGTCATTAGTTCTGCAAACAGGATGCTAGCTGTAATCCATAGGGCTATTGTTGACGGTAAAACACTTTGGTTTAGTCTCTATTTTCCCCTTTGTCTCTTTAATCTTTATTTCCTTTTATATCAACAAGACATGGCTTGTTGGACTTCATTAGAATTTATTCTTGCACAAAGCCAGTGGTTAAGGGAAACGACACCTCAGGAAATGCTTCTCGTTTCCCTTTTTGCATAACTTTTCCTTTTGTTATTTCACTTCCAGGATTATTTAACGCAATGTGGTGCATTTTAATCTTTTGGATTTAGGTCCATATCCATCTGATAACAGTCCTTTTCCTTTGTACTCATTGAGTTTCCCAAACTTGTCACTTAGATTTTGATTCAAGTGTGCACCCCTAATGAATCAAACTGAAACCAAATCAAATGGCAATTCTTTAACTCTAGCGAAGAGTTTTGCTGCTTACATGAAGTGGAAAATTGCTTCGTTAGGAAAAAAACCCATCAACAATAAACATGGAGACAAACACAACTGCAGCCATAAATTTTGACATTATATTTTCTGAATTTATTTCAAAATATTTCCAAGTATATTTATAGAGTATATAAATATACTTAATATTTATATACTTAATATTAATATACTATATATAGTATATTAATGGGAAACTGAATTTTTACAGTTTTAAGACCAGATTATTTTTAACACCAGTTCTACACACATAGTGGCTAAATGGAAGTGACAAATGGTCCCAAGGGTTACATCTGCATGAAATAATTCAAGAGTGATTATTGATTTATACAACAGTCTTTTGATGTCAGAATTTTTTATAATTAAAATTAAGAAAAGTGAAAAAGTAAAATCGCATTTTTGGCATGAGAAACTTTATGCTCACAAACGACACCCACAGTTACCCTGATGATCTGACTCCTTACTCCTGAATTGTCCGTCGTTGGTACGCCATTAGCTGTACTATGTTCTTTCTCCTCGGCTCTGGGTCGTTGCTTTCCTTGAAGCCAAAATTCTTGCTAATTCATGAATTTGGGGGAAATCTGGAACATGGAGAACTTTTTTTCTTACCAAGATCTTTAGTGAAAATAAGACCGTTCACTATTTTCCTCTGTATTATCAATTAGAAGCCACCTGTCATTTTTACATTGTGTTGTTTTTGTCAACAGTTATGTTTAGTTTAAATGTTAGATCGTCATCCATTTGTGGTTTAGAGAGCCAGGTCTCAGTAGGTTGTTTTTCCGTCTGAAGAGTGAGTTTCAAAATTACCCATCATCTGATTGTGATTCATTTATGTGTTATGCTTTTCAGACTTTTAAATAGCTGGACTTTAAAACGGAAAAGCAGCAAGCAAGACTTTAACACTTAATGTCTTGCTTGGTGATCCCTTTATTGTTTTCCTTTGCTGTGTTTTCTGTCGCTGCGTGATGGCTGCTGTGAACGCTTTACGTTTTCAAAGAGGCCGTCCATCATGACCAACGGTTCAATATAACTAACCAAGTTTTCCAACCTTTAAAAATGTCGTGTCATTCTTCTGACTTTTACCATGCCATTGTGTGCATGCCCAAAGAATGAGGATGTGCTGATTCATTCCCTCTCTCTCTCCTCTCTCTCTCTCTCTGTACTTTCCCAGGTAGGGCAGTTCAGTCAATTTCTCCATGAATGTACGTCACAATGATGATGACAGACCAGATTCCACTGGACTTGGCTCCGCCCCCCCTCCTGAACGGAGAGCTCCCTCTCATGCCTCACATGGTTAACGGTGACGCGGCGCAGCAGGTACATATGCCTTTTCACACTCGCACACATCTGTTATCCGGACGCTTGTAGTTCAAACCCTTCCCCTCCTCCCCCGAATACTTCCACCTTATTCTCCCAGCATTTCCTATATGTTGTGGTTAATGTATCCAACAGGCTCTTCCCTTAGTCATCGTTTCATCACAAGTCTTGTGTGTCATTCCTTCGGGTGTTTGAAAAGCTGCCAAGACCTTGCCTTCAATGAAGTGGGTCATTAGCTGGAGCAAAAACAAGCACCTAGAGAGATGAGGACAAGTCGAGTCATTTTCACGAAGGATCACTGCAGCTCTTCGGTATTCTGAGTGACACACCGGCATTGCTGGAAAAAGGAACAAAAACTCCTAGAAGCGTGGCCGAAACAAATTTCCATCCCCGCATGCCACGTGCTCGCAAAGCATTTGCTTAAAAATACTTTGGACAGGGAGTTGAGTGAATTCTCCCGAACGTGCTGCAAAGCCAGCTGGGCCTCTTTGAAAGCGCAGCACATAGATGGACATCTGCTCAGGCGAAGGGAAGCGGTCGCTCTAATCGAAATCAGCGCAGTTCAGCGGGACTTTAAAATATTTGGTCAGAAACATTTTCACACTGCGAGCTTTCGATAAGAACAGGGATGAGAATGCTATTTGCATCGCCGTAGCCCTGCTCCCTCGCAGCCCAGAGGAAGTATGTTGGGAGTGTTTTGGCTGTGACACGGGTACAGTTATGCAGGGGGTTTTGGCCGTAGTACACAGCAGTTAGGGAGCTCTTTTTATCACAACACCCTGCAGTTTAAAACTTGGTTCCCAGTGTGGAATCGGGGATCTAGACCAATGATTATACAGATTTGACTCAGCATTTATGTGTCCACATGTGTGAATTTGTTTTCTGTCTGTCGTACTTTGTGTGTGTGTGTGTGTGTTTGTGTCTCATACCCTTTTAGCTTTTGTGTGGGCACTGCAGCGTCTGTGAGTCTGAATACATGCTGTAAGTGCTTGTCTGTCAGTTTTCTTAGTATTTGTGTTTACTAGCCTGCATTTTTCAAGCTGCAGCTGCTGGTAGTTTTTCTACACTGAAACTAAGAGAGAGTAAGTATCGGGTACAGCCAAGATCAAAGGCGACCAACTATAAGGTTTTCTACCCGTTTTTTTTTTAACCTAAAGAGTACAGTATAGGGGGTTTGGAGCTGATCTTAAATTTTTGTAAACCTTTTACCTGCCAGTTCTTTTAGCTTCCATTTTTTTTGAATCTAAAAGCAGAAAACAGCTGCTTCTGAGTGGATTCCAGAATGTTTATATGTAGCATTCCTTCAATCACCAACCGTTCATTTTCTATTTTAGGAGCAGAGGCGACGTCACACTGTGTGAGAGAGAACTCGCTACAGAGTAGGTTATCATAACATAAAAAAAAGTTAGTATAGTAAAATTCGCTGTGCAGCTCCAGGTCAGGGCCGACGAAGCTGAATATTGCCCGATTCAAATCACCGGGTGATTTCTCTGAGCATCTCTAATTAATGGTTGAGTTATATAACCTTCTTTTGAAGTTTAAATTCAGTATCGACTCTCTCTCCCTTTTCTACTAAGACGAGTAAATGTTTATTTTAAAATTTGTGTTGCACAAATGTTAAAACCGCAAAATTGTGGTTCTGGGTCAGTTGACCTGAAACTGCTTGTTAATGTCTCTTATTGCCATTTCTTCTTAATGAAGGAAGGTCTAGAAAGACCTAGACAAGGGGAACAATTTTTTTTTTTTTTTTTTGTCTAAAATCTATCGCAAAACTGTTACAATCCACCTAAATATGAAGATTTTGTGAATTCTGCCTTGGCTCCTGCTCATGTGCAACACAAGCTGACAGGTTAAATCCAGCATCTATGGGGATAACAGTAGGTTAAAATGTAACAAAACATGTACCCATTAAAGCGAAGCATCATGGGTATACCCAACAGTCTGGTTCCTTTGACGCAGCTCTGTTTATTTAAGCCGCCACTCCTCTCACTCCCACCAACATGGTCCCATGTAAGGGGTTTTCTCCATCCGTATGTGCCGTGTACTATGCTGCCGTTCCCATAGCAACAGCAGCCGCTGCAGCAGCAGCAGCAGCAGCAGACAGAGCAGGAAGTGTGCATCTGTTTTGTGTGTGAGACGGGAAGGGAGCATGTTGGTGCTGAGATGGGAGAAGAAGCAGAGGCTACAGGAGGAACGCACGATACGAGGCTCGTTGAAAGGCACACCTGTGGAGCGTAGACGGCACCGTGCTTGTGTGTGCATGCCTGCATGTCCCTGAATACGTGTGGGTGTGTGCGTGCCTGGTGCGTACGCAATGGAGGGTCGCCTGTTTCACGTCTACAGCCACGTGTACAGTTTCAACAACCTGAACACGGAGAACATGACGGTAAGGTGTTCTGCGTGCTCCCGTCGGGCTTCATCGGAAGGAGACCCACCCATCTGTCATTTACTTCGCTTTCAGTGGCGTGCGCGCTCACCTGTCTGTGTGTCAGCCTGGGATGTGTGCTGTTGTATTCAAACTGGATCTTCTCTGAGAACAGGTTTTGAAAGAAACCTGTTCTAAGATCGAGGTCTCAAAGTAGCCGTTTCTCATTTATGTGTGTAAATGATACTCTGTGATCCTACAGTCAGTGTGCCAAATCACCTCTGGAAATTACGTAACAGATGTGTGCATATAAACTTTCTCCCTCAATACTTTATTTGCGTCTTCTTACAGTGTTTCCCTTTTTTTTTCTCTTCTTTTGTCTTTGTGTTTTGACACAGGTGATTCTGGTGCAGGTGAACCCAGGGGAGACGTTTACCATCCGAGCGGAGGACGGCTCGCTGCAATGCATTCAGGGTCAGTCTTCGCTTATCACATCGCGTTATCATATTACAGCGAGGCCTGGCCATCAGTCCTTTGCGTGTCTGTGTGATTGAAGATTAAAAAGAAAACATATTTTTTTTTTATCAGTTTAATTGTAGGCTGGCTTCACGCTCTTGAACCAACCGAGACTTGTGCATTGCAAATTGAGCAAGTGGTACGAATTATCACATAAATACGTTAATGTTTGAACTAAAAGATCCAGTCAAAATTCTTTGTCCGTGTTATTCAAGACTAGTCAACCCAGTAATATTACGCCTCTCTCCACCATGGGAGGTGGTCATAAACACGGAACCACAACGAGATGTAAGGGTAAGAAAAGACTGGAGATTGATTGGGACACCGTGACGGTCAGCAACGGAAGCATTTAGCAGATTCTTCATACGATTCTCTGGTGTCCAGAGTTGCCGTGGGCGTGACTGATAAAATCACAGATGATGTGGACAGAAATATGAGTGTTCTTATTCAAACAAACCTGGGTCAGGACCCCCAGCTGATCCTACAAGAACTTGAAGGAAATGGAAGCTGTGAAATGTTGTCTGGAGAGTCTGAATTTAAAAGTATTTATTCTGCCATAAAACATTCAAAAACTCCCGAATATTCCCTGATTACAGTCTTTTGAATGATTTGTGTAGTAAAGTAAATGCATAATGGTGTACACGTAAGGCAGTGGTTGGTAGTAATGCACGTTTGCGCCGATGACGGATGTGGTGAAACTGATCTGCCGTAGCTCCACTCTGGCTTCGTCAGATATCGGTAAATGAAAAAGACTGGAGATGGAAGCCACATTAAAAAGCTCCTAAAGATGGAAGGAGGTGGCAGAAACGTGGGATTTCCCCCAGCCTCCTCTGAAATTCTCTCACTTTGAGGATGTCAGACAGCAGCTTTGAAAGAGCGCTTTTGTTTTCTTCGTGATCTCTCGCCCCCCCTCTTCTGCCGATCCCCGTCTTCTTCCGTCAGTTTTTCTTTGGCCTCGGAATTGAGAGAAAGCAGTTCTGGCCCCAGACGCAGCCTGCCGCCCCTCTTGTAAAACCCTCACCACCACAGCACGCCGTGTTGTAGCAAACAACAGCCTGCCTCTTCTCCTCTAACCGCCATGTAATTTAATTTTCCTGAAATCAGAGGGATCGCCTTGGCGAACCTATGGGCAGAGTTGATGGCAGATAGACGCGCCGCATGGTGGGATGGATGGATGCAAGGACGGTGCAGACGCAAGAGACGTGTAGAATGAAAGATTTGGTGAAAAGTTAATTACAGAACAGATGACGTTTGAATTTTGCGAATATAATAAACGACAGAAAAGAAAACCAGATTCTGCTTTGCAGAAGGACGCAGTATTGATGCAGCTAAGGTCTCGTGGATGTTTGTCTGGTTGCATGTGTGCACTTCCCCATAAAAAAAGTTATTCTGTCTGTGTGTGCTTTTTTTTTTTTTTTTTTTTTTTTTTTGGTGGGAGGTCTCCAATTTGGCCTCATATTAATGCGACTGTTGCTAACGATGAAGGAGCACGGTCACACAAACGCGCACACATGCACGTGGACAGAAGAACAAACTCCAGTTCTTTTCCTCCAACCTTCTCTGGAGGTCGGCGGGTTTTATGAGAGGTGGAGTGTGGCGGTGGGTTTTGAAGACGGGACTGAGTCCCCTCTTCAGACAGACTCTGTGTGATTACCGAGACCTCAGAGCTCAGTGTTTGCCCTCGCTGTGTGTTTGCTCTTCAGCTCGCTACGTGTGTATGCCTGTGTGTGTGTGTGATTTTATTGAGGGAGGTTGCAGAGACCTGAGGGCACAAGCAGGGACCAGATTTGAGATGAAACAACCTCTGTTTAGCTGTTGCTGTGCGGCGCAAACATGCACACAAACACCGATGCTCTCTGCCAAAACTGACCCTGTCTGGAGAGGTCAGGGCCGGACGGCTTCTCGCTTGCGTTTCATAACGCCGTCGCCTCTTTTCACTTGATGCTTTACTTGTTCGGCCCTTTGCTCCAGTTGATCATTACCCGATCTGGCATTGACGTGCGTTTTCTTCTCATTCATACTCTCCGGGAACTACTACCGAGTCAAAAACAATCCAGTTTTGAGCATTTTTGATGACCCACGTCTGGGTCAAATGGGAACAATTCAGCCTTTTATTGATTTTTGTTTTATGGGTTTAACCCACTGTACCGACTCTCAACCAGCAATCCAATAAACTAAAAGAGACTTGTGTCTAAACTTTAGGGAAAAAAATGTGAAATTTTTGTGTCGAATTGAGTCATTTTAACTGACAAACAAGGCAAGTTGGATAATAAATCTCCTACTGAATTCATAATATACACTTATCGGCTACACTATTAGATATCACATATTTGTCTAAGTCATTAGTCTTAAACCCAGCAGTTTCTTGTGTGTAATTAGCCGTCAAACGCTGTGGAACAGTTTCGAAACTCGACGTATACAATCGATTCATTCCACGTTTTATTGGATCATGTTAGTCACGTGCTTCAGTTTTATCTTCCTTCCCTCCCAGCGGTTTTGTTGCGTTGCTCTTTTGATGCTCGCTTCTTCTTTGGCTGCAGCTTTGTGTGTGTCGGCGAACGAGTCGAAGCTAATCTCCTTCCTGTATCCGTCTGCTAATTAGCAAGTTCGGTGTGGATATGCGAGTGTCTGCGCGTCTCTGTGGCCTGTCTAAAACAGACTGACCTATCGATGCTCCGGGGGGGTTGGCTTCAACCAACCACCCCCCCCACACACTCTTTTCTCACACACGACATGCTTCCACACACTTCCCAGTCTCTAATCATCCTTGCCACCTCTCCCTTTCCACCGTTTTCGGACGAACCCCCCCCACCCTTCCCCACCGCCCTCCTCCCACTCTGTCCCTTCCTCCCCTCACTAAGACCATAAGACCATTCCCCTGAGCTTTCCCACACTCACATCAAAGGAGAAGACTCTGGAGGGTGTGTTAGAGCACCCTGCTCTGGAATTTCAGTGTGTTGCCATGCCGCTTGCTTTCGTGTGTGTGTGTGTGTGTCTGTGTGTTTTACAAGGGTGAGTTAGTTGACTGGGCTGTTTGGTCTTTGTTGAACTTTTTACGAGGGACGATGAGTCCGGGGAAGTGGGGGGCTAAAACGCAGCAAGAGGTTACACCACCACGGAGGATGTGACATCACAGTGCTTCTTAGGTGGCAGCAGATCAACATTGTTTGTCCTTTTTTCTATTGCATCTAATGATTTTGGATGCAAGTTGAATATTGACAATATTTAGTTCTTGGGTATTATACCTCAAGTATTTACACAAAGCCGTTATAGACCATGTTCCACCTGCTCCTTGCGGTGCGTGGTCACCACTGACTCTGCATACATGTCATTCTGCATGCGTTATTTGGACAAAGCAGATGGGGAATCAAAGGTCTGGTTTGTGTTTTGCCAGCAGATGTGTGCAGCTGGCTCATACGCTCTCTGCGTCTTCACTGATGCTCACTTCCTGTCAATGTTCTGCTGCCCCATGATTGGCTTGTTATATATTATATTAAAACTGACGTATTGCTTTTATTGAGCTGTTTCGATCACGATCACTGCGTAGAACCGTTGCGACCAGACTTCGTCTAAAACGCACTCTCCATCATTCATTCGTGAGAACTAATTGTGACTTGTGAAGGCACTGCTGTTTTAATAAAGATATTTAATTTCTATTCTTACCTATTTGCAGTCATATTATGAATGAGAAGTGCTCAAATGCCCAAAGTTTGAACAAAACCATCTTTTTTTTTTTTTTTTTCTTTTTTTTTTCCAGGTTAAAGCTACCAACTTTAGCACAATGCCTCATTCCAGAATAGATTTCTTTGAAACAATATGAAATACGATGTCATTTTTTTGGTATACGATTCTCATGGTATGGTAACCTGGAGTAAAACTACTGTAGTTTCACTGTGTAACACACACAAAAAATGTAAAACATAATACAATCGCTTTGATTTAACACAAAAATTGTTTAATATTGTGTAAAAGTGCTAAACTATTATATGATAACCTCCAGTTTGTTTTTTGGCTTTTTTGTTTTAGCAGTTTGTGATATATAGAATAAACTGTCTAAACGGTGTTTTTCAAGTATATATGGTCATTGTACATAATGGCTTTATCACCATTAGGTTTTCTTGCATCGCTGTCCATGTTCTTCCCAATCGGAAACATTTCCAAAAATGTCTGCTCTGCTCCAGCTACTTCAGCACTTTGAGAACTTCCCAACATTCATTTAAACATTGGAACACTATGGCCAAAAAAATGGGCATTTCTGAAATTGCAACTCTTTAGACTTTTGGCTTAGATAAGTGCCAGAAATCGGGCCTATTTTCTTTAATGTTGCTTTCAGTATTTGTCAAGCATAAGTTTTATATCGGCATTGCTTTGTCCTAAATATATTCAAGAGGGAAAAAAAAATAACTGTAGTCCATCTTGTGAACACTTTGTACCACCTACAAACTACTACAAAATTAGAAAATTTTTATTTTGTACTTATTAGTTTTAGCACTCCGTTAAAAGTAACATTACAATCTAGAAATAACATTTATTTTAAATCTTTGAACTTATACCTTTGAACAAAATCTTTTGGTATTGGGGGGAATTGTGTCCTTAGGTTCCTGATTTAAGAAACACTGAGAAATAATGTGGTGTTTTTTTTAGTTTTTTTTTTAAGTTTCTTCTGGCCTTACTTTCATTCCTGTTAGTGTTTCCCCCCTCTGCCTCCGTTAGATGGATGCAGCTTTTCCTGGGTTCACTGCATCACTACAGAAGCTTCCTGAGGTTTTCTTTTTTTTTGCCCAGCCTCCAGCCAAAGTGTGCACTTCTACACTCGGGACCCTTTGATGTAAATGGAAATAGCTGCTTGAGAGAGATGTGGTGGAAAGCCCTGCAGCCTGTGTTTACCTCGAGCCAGATGGCTCTAAACAAGCTGGGGGGAGAAGACGCAAATACATTTTTCTCCGAAGGGCTTAATT